ACTGATTCAGTAACTCCAACCGAATTGTGATTAGTTCGTAACTTGATATTTGCTTGTTCAACTCGTTAGTCATTATTCCATCCTTAAGATAAATAATTTTCCACCTTCGAAATTTCTCGTTGTTCATAATCATCAAAATCCAAAAAAAAAATCATCCTTTAATTTTTTACATTAATTTAAAATTCATATTTAATTCTTCGTATGGATAATTGGACATTTAAATATATTTTCCCCTCTCTTAAAATTCAGATATTGCGAAATTGATCCAAAAGAGCTGAAAGAAACGGAGATCAAAACTCTCACGTTTATCATAAAAGAAAGAAAAGTCATCTTGGAAAAAAGGTAAACCACGATAAAATTTTGAGATAAGAAGTGACGAGTATTTTGGAGAATCTCTTCGAAGCTTGGAAAAGTGTGATACCTCGGACGATTTTCTTTCTTACCCTCCCCTGGGAATCGTAAGAAGTGCGCAGGTGGCAAGGACGAAGTTTATAACGTCTTGCCAACTTTCTCACACGTATTTCCGGGGGAAAATACGGGTTACAACGGTTTCTGGGGGAGGGGAGAAGTCGAGCACAATGGCGTGGCTGCCGTGTATCGTTACAGTTTTATCATCGGTCGATGAAAGATCGTGGTTTCGCCGATACGGCTATAAATTTCAATTGTTCGAAACGCTATTTCTACATTTAAATCGTGTGGAAAGATTCATCGAGTCGAGATTCGAATCGTAGTTGGCAGGACTATGATCTGATGTATCGTGCTTTAAAAATACCCGAAAATATTCTTCTTGCTCTTATTTAACTGGAATAGATTATCTTATAATATGATTGCTATGATAGTATCACGAGATCAATTGGATAATTTTGCCCCCCAAAAAAAATGCGAAAACAATGATTTTGGAAGTAATCGAATTTAACAATTTGATACTAATATTAATAAAGAGTTTAATTTTCTTCGTGAGTTATTTCTGTCTTATAAAATTCTGAAAAGAATTTTGTATTTTGTATTATAAAAAGATTGAATAGA